TGTCGGTATACTGTCCTACATTGTCACAATACTGCATTTTCTTTGCATCTTGGCAGGCAGTATATTGAAGGTGTCAAATATTTCTTCCTTTTTCAATGATATTGAAAGTATGTCCTCTCCAAAAATTGAGCTGCGCAATTCTTGGCGAAAAGCAGGCTGTCAGCTGTGTCAAGTGATTATTCTCGACACAAATTCAATATAAACATTTGATCACAGGGCCGGATGTTGCCATACACTTGTTAATCTTTTTGTCGAGGTCCTTTTTGGAGCGCTAGTACAACATTACTTTTCGCCTGAGATCATTACAGAGAGGTTCCCGTTTCTATATATTTAACGATTCAACGTGGCTAGGGAGCTACAGATATTTAGATTTCAAAACGATGATTTTGTAATATGTCAAAATTGTTAAGAGTTAACATACATGTAGTACAATATAATCCCGGGAAGATCCGGGTTAGAATTGATTTAGTAACCCATGTTTGTCGTAAGAGGCGACTAACGGGATCGGGTGGTCAGGTTCGCTGATTTGGTTGATACATGTCATCGTATCCCAGTTGCGTAGATCGATGCTCATGTTGTTGATCACTGGATTGTCTGGACCAGACTCTATTATTTACAGACCACAGCTGTAATATTGCTGAGTGCGGCGTAAACAACAAACAACCAATCAAGGCCAATCAAGAATGACTCGTCCCTACCCTTTGTCTATCTGGCTTCAATCATTATCTGTAATCGCATTAACAATCAGTGACGTGAACACACTGTACACCAACCCCTTTAATTTTATAAACTTGAATATCCTTCATGCACATATAAAGTATAGTGTTGTGTATCGCTTGCTTGATAACGGCGTAGGGCGGTGGGGTAGTCTAGTGGTTAAAGCGTTGGCTCGTCACGCCAAAGACCCGGGTTCGTATCCCTACATGGGTACAACGTGTGAAGCCCATTTCTGGTGTCCCCCGCCGTGATGTTGCTGGAATATTGCTAAAAACGGCGTAAAGCCAAACTCAGTCAGTCAGTGATAACGGCCTTTGTATCTGCACCGAGACGTCGCATCTACTGCAGTAAAGAAGTTGTCTATCTGTAAATACATCTGTTCCTCTTCTTCAAAATTAGACACGTACGTAATATTGACACCTGACTGACGGTGAGCATATCAGGGCGTCCCTTTGGCTTTCAACAGGAGCACTTTAATTGTCATGTAAGTCAATGTGAGTAATACATGAAACTTGCCATGCTACTGGAAAATATGACCACAAAAATACGCATCCAGCTTGTTTTAGAACTTATAACCACTTTGATCAAACCTATAGGAATAAGCACTGGCGGGGTACTGACAAATCGTTGTATCTACACCAAGACTGTATCTACAATATGACTGCCAGTGAGAATATCAGGGCGTCTCTTTGTTTTGTACCGACGGCCTATAGGTGGGTTTCAATAGGAGCACTTTAACTGTCACGTATAGTTGTTATGAGGATGTGTTTCTGTTAATTATACTGCATGTCACATTAATTAACTCTTAGTTATCATGGGCCACAAAAGTTTAAAGCGATGAATGTGGATTTGAACTCGCATCTTGAACTTAGGTTATGTAATTTCATCTGTTAAGAGTGGGCTGAGGAGTGGCCTCCCATTGTTTGTTTTGCTTCCGGTGGGATTCTGGAAGCGTTAGAAGTTGGTGGTGTGCCATGGCTTTTGTTAGAATTCTCTAGAACTGTACAAGAGGTATATAAGGGATGGTTGTTGAGATGTATGAGGATGACGACTTTAGGTTTACGCTCATCCGTCTGCTAACATCAACGTTTCAATACGTACCTACCATTCAAGAGGCCTCAACAGCTGACAGCAAACTTCCAAACGTACATCTACAAGGATCATAAGTCTGGTAACTATAGGCATTTAGTTCATATTTTAGGTTAGTGACCCAATGGTATTGTATTAGAAATTTGTACTGTCATTCATTGTAACTTTGTTTATTCAATTTATAACTGAATATTATAGACTCGTCTGTGTTCTATTTTGCCGGTTTAAAGGGGACTCACAGGCATTTTATCACAGTAATTTCTAAACCGTAACACAGTCAATGTCAGCAATACATGAAACTTGTCATGCTACTGGACAATACAACCACAAAAATACAAATTGTGAAACACTCTTCGTAGCCTTATCTTTGAATGCTTCAATAAATTAAACAGCCAGGCTAAAAAAGTACAGGAATGTTTGTTGGTGGAAGAAATGAAGCGTAGAATTTATATCATATCATGATTAAATGAACACGGTCTCTAACAGCCTGAACTTGCATCTCTCTGGTGGAGTTATAAAGGAATTCTCTGAAACAAATATACTGAGTCAAAAAAAGAAACTTCACAAAAATGTTTTTTGAAAAATAATGAATAATTTTTCTCTGATGATACATCTTTGTATCCGAAATGGGATCCCTATCTTTCGACTCTAGAAAAAAACGTTAGCAAAACCCACTCAAACCCATCCATTCGTCGTGCAAATGACGTTAGTGCCAAATCAGGTTTTGCACGTGCAGTCGATCACGTGATCTTCGCATCGAAGTTTTCTTCATATGCACGTGTTTGCATTGGCCTCAAGAATTGAAAAAACACTTTTAAACCACAGTTCTAACGGTACTTGATATGCCACGATTGTCAAATGTGAAACGTGAACGTGCCGTTGGCATGTTGCAAGCGGGAAAATCAGTTATTGACGTTGCAAGAGCAATGGGATGCAGCCGTCGTACTGTGTATGACTTGCGAGGTCGTCTACAACAAACTGGCACCACCGCCCAAGGTCGGGTCGTCCACGTGTGACGTCACGAGCAGAAGACCGTCAAATCGTCCTACGTCACTTACGTGACAGATTTCCGCCGGCTACACGAACCAGGGCTGAGATGTTTAGAGGTCGACTGTCCTCACAGACCATTCGAAATCGGTTGCGGGCTGCCAATCTCCATGGTAATTGTCGCGATATAGTAGCGATAACTTACGATATCTGCAGCTTTGTTCTTCTGGTGACACCACTTTCATTCGTTTGGACCGAAAAATGTTTCGTGTCAAGTTACCAAACGTAAGTTATAGCTCATATTCAGCAAACAACTACTTTTTAACCCTAGATCAATAATCAGATCCAATAAAATGTAAACAGTACTTATTTCACACGTTGTAAATTGACAGCACACCTGTCCAGACACGTGATATCCTTGTCAAAATTTAAAACTTTGGAAATAAGTAAGGGCCATTTCTTATATAAAACTTGCTTTTTGAGAATTTCCGTCAATTTGTACCTGATGATGTTCGAGCTATTGCCTCATTGATAAATACAACCTGGGCACAATGTACCCACTCTACATGTCAGCACAGAACACATTTACGATTCTGCAAGCCAGTTCGTGGTGTTAGTCGACATTCGGGGGTTTGATGCCTGTCACGATGAGCCTGAAGAATAATTCCCAGCATAATACTTCTATATAAGCTGAATATTTGTGACTTTTCATCGTTCTTAGAAGTATTGAAACATTAAATGAACGTTTCAAGGACACAAATACCATAAAATTACTTGGGACTGCTCTAACTCTGAATTTGACACAAGAGGTCATCCATACACGTCATCCTGTTTACGCGACACGCCAGCCAATCATATGATCGAACTTATGTGACGTAGCTTTCTGGGTCACTTGTGTTGACAGTGAGAGGGTGGCCATGCCGCGATTGTGAAAAGCAGTAAAAATACCTGGATTTTGGAAATGTTTGACATAAATAAACAAGTTTAGAGGTAAGAGATTTTAAAATAAGATTATATGAATATAACTTTGAAAATTCAGCGGCAGTTCTTAAGTGATCGAACTTACATGACACAAGGGTAATAGATTGTTTTGAAACTTAGAGCTATTAATAATCACATAAGCTAAAACCGTCGGAAAGCACTCTAAAAATCTCCGAAATAAGTCCACAAAATAGACAAAGCCATGAGAGCCGTTATGAAAAGAAACGCACGCGTGTGTATTTGAATCTGTTACCGTCCATGGTGTCCTTATTGAAAACTTCAAATGTGGAACACAATTTTGTTACCTATGTTCTTTGTTATGTCAAAGGTGAGGTGAGGTGAAATTGGGTTTTAAGTCGTGCTTGAGAATATTTCGCTCATATGACGACGTGCATGCGTGTGTATATGTGTGTGCGGCTGCTTGTACTAGCCCAGACTTAAGCTGGTTTTATAGTGCTAGCCCACTGAGATACCATGCCGCAGTGAAGCATGAATACCCCACTCAGACACATTATACTGACTCCGAGCCGACAAGCCTTTTTTGTACCAATTAATGTCGAGCGCCAGGCAGGGACCTAAAAGTACCATATTTGAACGTCTTTAAGTATGACGCGGTCGGGGATCGAACCCGCGACCTTCCGCTCTCCGGGTGGACGCTCTAACCACTACACCACGGAGGCGGTCTGTTATGTCAAAATGGCGACAGATATTTTTCATGATTTTTTAAACAATCACATAATGCCACGACAGATTGAAGAACGCAGAGACAGTTTAATCGTACCACCTCAATCCTTATGCGTATCCTGACTGGTTTGTCGTATTTTCGCACATACCATTGAAGAGTGATTTCTGTATTGCACCAACGTTGAAAGATACTGTCCTTTTTGTAGAGTGATTGGTCTTACGAAAACACATGCAGCTTTACAAACGTGCTCTGCGTGCACGCCGCTGACGTTAGCCGACATTTTGTAAAAAGGACCGTGGTGCTTAACTTTCTTCCAGGTGTATATTGCAGGTGGCTTATCTGTTATATTTCCGTTTGATATGCAATAGGAGCTGATAAATATAGAATATCTAGCAAATATAGAATGTCTAGCAAAAATATATATATATATATATATAACTAAACAATTTTTATCTTTAAGTTAAATATTGTGCTAACATTTCACTTCACTGAAATATTGGATCCCAAGCTGAAGCGCTCATAAACTCTGACAACGCAATGCTGACTACATGTAGTCATATTCTTTAATCAGTCAAGACGGATAACAGGTGATGCAGCGATGAGGCAGATCCCGTTCACACGTGGACTGAAGGTGTCGACTCACTAAGTTGGTTGTATGCAGCATGACATGCCTCCAGGACATATACCCTGCATCATGAAACCTGCACATGGTCTCTTGGGCGAGATGCATTCTCCTCTTAGCTCTTGACACGCATCTGAAAATATGTACAATGAACAATATAGAACATAAGTACAAACCCGCTGTGCTGTAGATTGTGCTCACGTCAATTTACGGGACCTGCGTCCTATACGCGTAAAAATTGACAATGGGCGCAACGAAATGTAACAGCACGTCCACATGGACACAGAAAAAGTCTAAATACTATTTGTAAAATTTCAATCAAGTAACGATTAGTTATCACTGGGTTTGCTTCTTGCTGGGTTATGGTATCAATTTAATTACTGTAACAATGTGATGATCATGATACACACTACAATAACAGTAACTGAATTACAACAATATAACAACATAATATTAATAATAATATTTAAGTGTCAGCGACACAGATTTTGCAGTCCATGACCCCCTGAAAATTAAGAGTATGAGTCCCAGGGACCCTCAACTACAGGACTCGAGGAATATCCCTGGTGCTCTCCACCGCAAGTGTAAGACTCACCACCACAAGTGTAAGACTCACCAACCCCAAGTGTAAGACTCACCACCCCAAGTGTAAGACTCACCCCCCAACCTCGTGTAGGACTCACCCCCCCAAGTGTAAGACTCACCCCCAAGTGTAAGACTCACCACCCCAAGTGTAAGACTCACCAACCCCAAGTGTAAGACTCACCACCCCAAGTGTAAGACTCACCAACCCCAAGTGTAAGACTCACCACCCCAAGTGTAAGACTCACCACCCCAAGTGTAAGACTCACCACCCCAAGTGTAAGACTCACCAACCCCAAGTGTAAGACTCACCACCCCAAGTGTAAGACTCACCACCCCAAGTGTAAGACTCACCAACCCCAAGTGTAAGACTCACCACCCCAAGTGTAAGACTCACCAACCCCAAGTGTAAGACTCACCACCCCAAGTGTAAGACTCACCACCCAAAGTGTAAGACTAACCCCCGGTGTAAGATACTGTTTTTCGAATGTGCTGCAGTTATTCAAATCTAGATGACAAGTTAAACTATCACAGATCACTTCATACTATGCTAGAATATTATAGCATTTATTGTAGATTTGTAGATTTCCAAAAAGCGTTTGATTCAGTGAACAGGAGCAAATTGCTCTACTTGTTGTTGCAAAGAGGTATTCATGGTAAAGTCCATAAACGTTAAACAAATATTTACAAGAACGTTAAGGATTCAGTTCGGTGTAGGATCGCCAATGTGACTAGCATGTTCAATACGTGGAGTGAGACAAGGTTGTATATTGCCATGAGTATTATTTATAATGCATATTGATGAACTTGTAAATGAAAGAATGAAATCTGACGACAGTGGCATATTTATTGATGAATCCCTAAAAGCATTATCAATATTGCTTTTTGCTGATGATGTATCTATATTTGCAGATTCTGATATCAATCTCCAAAAGAAAATAGATATTTTGGTGAGATACTGAGTGTGAAAAATGGGGATTAACTATAAACAAGAATAAAACCAAAGTTGTCGTGTTTAAGAAGGGAGGCTTTTTATCGAAATATGAAAAATGGTTTATTAATGGACAGTCCATTGAAACTTCATCTTATTATAAACATTTTGGCATTGTATTCTCCTGCAGAAACATGTTTTCAAAAGCATGTGAGACACTTTCCCAACAAGCAGAAAAGGCACTCTACCCAATTAAACGTTTTATCAACAAAATACAAAATCTGCCAATAGAAGCAGCATTCAAGCTGTTTGATGGCAAGATTAAGCCTATACTTTCATATGGGGATGAGCTTTGGGGATGGGAAAAACGTAAACAAATTGAAAAGGTTCATTGAAGTTTTTGTAAATATGTATTACAGATTGGTTCTAGGACATCAAGTAAAGCCGCACTGGCAGAATGCGGCCGTTATCCTATTGACATATATGCCTATATCAGCCTTCTGTCGTTTTGGAGGAGGATTTTACGTCAACCGCCATACAGATATTCAAAGAAATGTTATGAAATGTTAAAAAAGACTAGATGACAATGGGGATGAGAACTGGGTATCAAAAGTGAGAATGTTATTATATATGATACGGTTTCGGTTATGTTTGGATAGCACAAGATGTTAGTAACAAGAAATGTTTTTGGAGAATTTTAAACAGCGTTGCAAAGACATGTATAATCAAAAGTGGCATCAATATATAGCTTTTTCCGAATCCTTGATGTTCTATTCAACCATAAATACTGACTATTTTTTTGATAACTATCTTGTAACTATTACTTCAAAAGATTTACGGAGATGTTTGACAAAATTTCGTTGTAATGTACATGATTTTAATGCTAATTCGTGTAGATACTCCAAAAACTATGAAACTGCGTTTTGTAGTTCCTGTGTGACTGAACTAGAAGATGATTTCCATATTATATTAGTATGTCCTCTTTACAATGAGTATCGTGCTAAATATTTACCTGAATACTGTCGTAATTACCCTCATGTTCAAATGTTTATTGAATTGATGAGAACAAGCGATAAGAATAGACTCTTAAGACTTTGTATCTTTTTTATAAAAGTGTTTGTTCTCCGATCGAAACAAAAAATCTCTGTGAACACATAATCGTATCAATTGTAATAAGATCTACATTCTCAGTGTGGCACATATGCATGTCTTTACCTTACTGTTTTACACATGTTGGCCATATATACGTAATATAGGATGATGATGATGATGATGATGATGATATGATGATGATGATGATGATGATGATATGACATTATTGAATAGATTCGATCTTGACAAAGTATAACCTGAATAATCGCCTATTTTTCCGTTTAAGACTCCGTACAACTTTGAACATTAGTAAAATACAAATTGCGTGAAGATACATGCGAGGGTTCAGGTATATAACGGCGACAAATATACTGGACAAACATAGTTAGGGATATATGTAAATTTTGAAATTATGAATAATGATCTATTTATTCATTGACACACTGATAAAATGTCAATCATAAAAATACCAATATCCCTAACTTATTTTGTCCAGTATATGTTAGGATCGCTTGATCAGAGAAACCAGTGATTGATACAATGAGCGTCGAAAAACGTTCTCGGTGCACGACAGTCAGTTAGCCTGAACACCTGTTCTCATCACGACTTATTAAGAATCTATTCTAAGTGGAAATAGCAGAGTGCAAGTACGTATGTAAAATAAGTTATATTCAACAGTTTCAATTTGTCCCTACAATGAGGGATAGTTTGCTGTTTATAGCCCTAAATACCTCCCTCAACGATTTTGGACAATCGTCAATGCAACGAAGGAAGAACTTCTTTACAGATAGTCTTTACACATAGTCTTTTAAACATAGTCTTGGAGACAAGTCCAAGTGGGACTGATACCTCGTTTTGCTAACAATCTCAGAGTCTTAGCTTGAATCAAACAATCAAAGATATGAACAAGTTACATTTTGCCAGAGATTTGAGTTTTCAGCCATGTTATAATATTCCACACAACCACTTTTAGGATAAATCTTATTCCATGCAGAATTTCTAATTACATGGCGTAATCATGTACATATATTTACATCTCTATGCGAATGACTTAACAAAAGTAAATGAAAATCCAATCTGATGAATACTGAGAACAAGAAGTAAAAATGGGCGCCCAGGGATAACATCTGCGGGAAACTGTGGGAAGGCATTGAGGCAAGAAATTGGCTCCGCCATGGGCAAGAATTGTGCAACCCTTCTTTCTGGTGTCTTTCTTTATGAACATGAATTTGTAAATTAGCAAAATCTTGACAAGGAATATTTAAGTTGAGCTTCAGGTATAACGATAATGTGATATCGTCAGAAATGGCCAAACAGCTTATTCCATTCAACTCATTCCCTCACCTGACTCGAAATCTTACATATGAATACATTTTGAGGACAACAAAAGCCTCTCAAAAAACTGTATGATAAAAGGAATGAACTCAACTGCTTATTCCATTCAACTGATTCCCTCACCTGACTCGAAATCTTACATATGAATACATTTTGAGGACGACAAAAGCCTCTCAAAAAACTGTATGATAAAAGGAATGAACTCAACTGCTTATTCCATTCAACTGATTCTCTCACCTGACTCGAAATCTTACATATGAATACATTTTGAGGACGACAAAAGCCTCTCAAAAACTGAATGATAAAAGGAATGAACTCAACTGCTTATTCCATTCAACTGAATCTCTCACCTGACTCGAAATCTTACATATGAATTCATTTTGAGGACGACAAATGCCTCTAAAAACTGAATGATAAAAGGAATGAACTCAACTGTCTTATACTCAAATTCCCCTTAACGTCGAGCAGTGATGGGAAAGTTGACTTAACACTTGTCATGCAGACTATTTGATGGTTTCTGACACTGGACGTGTTTCTGAATATAGAACGTCAGTCCAAGAGAATACCTGTCCTTTACTGTCCTCAGAAACAAATTTCCTTTTCGTGTAAAGGGAAAAATAGCAGTGACAATTATATAAAGGTATCGCTCAAATAGCGAAAAGAAACAATACTTACTGGGGTTGCCTTGGCAGTCTACAACGAGGAGAATAAGAACAGTGAGAAGAAGGTATTTGTAAAACATAATGCAGATTCAATAAGTCGCTCTATTTCCCGAATGCCTTGTCAGTATGTTGTGCTGATGTGTCTACTTGCACATTTATCAGTGGCATTACGTGTTTGTTATACAGCTGTCGCGGACCACGTGCATATGCTGGCCAATCGCATTGCATACTCTTGTTTACCACAAACTCATCTGTTGCGCAAAATATTTAAAAAACACAAAGAATAATCAGTGCCTGTATGACGCAGACAACATTGATCCTAGATATATAATTGACCTCCTTTTGAATGTCAATACACAGATCCAGATAGACCACAGAATGTTGTTTTTCGATTTGAACACAGCAAGACATCAATGCACTTAAGCAATTTAAGTTATACTTGGTTTGTAGTTTGCTTATTCTGTTTAGGACCTTTTTACAGCAGTTTGCAGTTCGAAAGAAGCATTTCTTTGACGATGGACGGGAATGAGATTTGACCAAAATGTTACTTGTTGTTTTAATCAAATATGATATTTTTATCTAAAGGAAACTGGAATAACAAAGATTGCATTTGATCATTTTTTCCACTTTTGTAAAAACGTCAAATAAGGCCCGAGAGTTAAAGGACACAGATGTAAGTGCTGAGTGTGAATGTAGGTTGGTCTGAATTTACCCAAATCCAACTGTTGATATCATCAAATATATTTAGATTCTAGAATCTTCAGGCAGGTTGTCCTTATCTCTGCCACATACTGACAGGAACCTTCCTGTAGCACTGAGACACTGGTTATAAAATATGTGACTGAACATATTGATTCTGCAGAGATTAGTATACTCAATTTAGTGGTTTGAAACTTTTACGTCTGTGGTTTTCACAAAGTTCCGTATTGCGATGTATCAATAACGATGACCAGATCCGCAAACACATGACTGAAAGTTTTCCCGAATTTAATCCTGTGAGGAAATATATCTGTCATCCGAGGCCAATATGACCAACGTTTGAAATGTACATAATACTACTACCCATTTAGCAGCCAGATTTGCGTTTGTTTTGCGGGTCATGAACCAAAAGAGCATTTGGAGACTATGAACAAATATGACAAAGATGTGTAAATATATATATCGTTCTCACGTATTTACAACGCCTGAAATAACAGTAAATGTTGTTCATTATGACACAGGTTTAAATGCCCTTGAAATCGTGTATGATCAGGTTTAGATTTATCCCATGTTTCCTACTCTCCTAAGTGCTCGGTCATAGGTAATGGATTCCTAACATATTGATGGAAATTAGCATTTACTTTAATGGGTCGGTAACACAACTGCATTATGTTACCAGCAATATCTCGTTACGTACCCAGCAGCATCAACGTCGGTGACGTAAATAGGTAACTGGTAACATAGCATGGGGAACCACTTTTCCACTGATACTTTCCTGTGTAGGCTGAGTATTTTCATCGACATTCATATATTTCTATTGGAAGATAAGTTGTCTGATCAAAACACAAATATTCGCATACTTCCATGTGTTAATTAAGAACACGTTCAGATATAGAACCCAATGTCAGTTCACATAAGGCACCAAGAAAGGACTTTATAAGACAGTACTTGTGCAGTTATGTTTAAGAAACGTCGTTGATTCACACATAAAATTAGGACTGACAGATCAAGGAAATTGACTTAAAAATATACTGAGAGAAACAAATAAAGGAACATAGGAAAATTCAAGCGTTCTTTTAATATGTTCCAGTTGTCATCACCAGTTTTGAATTGCGCTGTTGAAGGAAATTTGAGAATAAATAAAGGAACACTGCCATGAAGTGGTGTTCCCTTATTTGTTTCCCTCAGTATACATGCCAGAAAATATAGCATACGCGTACATGGATAACACATTAATATGCACACCTGCAAATTTTTCTGTTTCTGGGTCAGTGGCCTTTATGCCAATCGAAAAAAATGACGTTGACGTTGACATTGCGTTAAACGTTGACTGAAACTGTCGTCCGTGTGGTAAACTGATATCGGGCATTAACTGTTCATCATCCCGTTCGGACATTATCCAATAATACCTGATGGGAACAGCTGAGGTGCTGTGGCCTTGTGTATTCATTGCTGTGTACTGACTTCTCTTGCATGTCTCTTACCATGTTTGAATAAAAAAATATATTTAACAATGAAATAAAAAGAAAACTATGCCAGTAGAAAAGACACTGTCCTGATGTTCTGTGGTTTGTTTGATATGTATATGTGGTCAGTTCGTGGCGTGTGACGTCCTGGGTGCCGTTGTACAAAGCGATCTTAGCGCTAAGGTTACCGTAACTCACATTCATTAACGTAGACTTAAGGCAGCCTTAGCGCTAAGGTTGTTTTGTACAACGGCACCCTGAACAGGAAGTGATAGTGTTTTGACGTGTTTCCTTTATGAGCCAGTTATCTGGCAGGGCTCCCTAATTAACCTGCATGTTTACTGGTTCATGCTGATGCAGCTAAATAGGTTTATCTGGAAGTGGATATTGGATCAATGGGACTAACATGATATGTTTAGATATGGGTTAAAACTCTTACAACACTGCTAATTTGTACTAGAATTACATGCTTTTGTATTAAACGTCGACAACGTTTCAGTATATCATAGGAGATATGAAGAATACAAAGTACCCGTGATCACTGATATGTTTTGTTTGTTCTGTTATTCAGTTATCCGGGTGGATATGCGCTATTTAGATTTCAAACATACACTAAATAATGCCGTAAATGGTGATTTTGTAATTCATCCGTGTTAAAAATGGCAAGATTTACGATGCATGCAGTTTTTACTAAATTTGCTCTCCTTGCAATATGTGAATGACATTACAGAAGAGGGAATTCCCACAGAATTCGAAACTGGGAAGTGCACATATGTTCGTGATGTATTTAGATATTCTTTTGATACCACCGCCTCTGTGGTGTAGTGGTTAGAGCGTCCGCCCGGAGAGAGGAAGGTCGCGGGTTCGATCCCCGACCGCGTCATACCAAAAGACGTTAACACATGGTACTTGTTGGTACCTGCCTGGCGCTCGGCATTAATGGGTACAACAAGGACTGGTCGGCTCGGAGTCAGTATACTGTGTCTGAGTGGGGTATTCATGCTTCACTGCGGTATGGTATCTCAGTGGGCTAGCACTATGGTACCAGCTTCAGTCTGGGCTAGTACAAGCAGCCGCACATTCACATACACACGCATGCACGTCGTCATATGAGAGAAATATTCTCAAGCACGACGGTAAACCCAATTTCACCTCACCTCTTTTGATATCACGGTGTGGATTGAAGAGAAGGGGGAATTTTGGTACGATTGAACGATGACTATGTTGATACAGTGCGTACACATGTATGTTTTGGATTTTCACAAAGAAGAAACTGTTAGAAAGACAGTTGACTCATCATGAATATTTTACAATTTACAATTTTAACAATTTTTTACACTGTATACAGAAATAAGACAGTTAACACATTTTGTGCAATGTATACGTTTTTGATGTCGCGATGTCATCACAGTGGAGCACTGAGCGGTACATAAGATTTATCCAGCTGGCGGCGTTTAACCAGCTGACGGCCAGACACTAGGTAGGAGGTAGGTCAACAGGGGGTTAATTAAGGTCAAATGGAAATAGGACTCTCAGAAAAGTACAAAACATGAATCGATATAATGCAAACGTACATTTAGTTACTTGTGATATCTGTAAAGCTTTGGCTAAGAAACTACTAGGTAAATACTTTTAATGCTGTAAAAGTACAAGACCCAAAGGTTTATTTTCGTGTATATGTATCTGTAAAGTTTTGGCTGTGAAACTAATTGATACAACTTTTATGTTGTAAAAGAGCAAGACTATGTATTTTGTGTATACTTGTACTTTATTGGTAGCAGGTGTGTACATATACTCAGCAGCAAAAAAAACGTCAGTACGAATTCAAAATTAGATAGGCACTGTAATTAAATCATTACAGAAATGGACATAATAAGCGGATCACAAACATTTTTTGTGTACAATATCTTGACACATTATTGAATAACTCAACACAATTTCAAGACATTAACGTTTGCAGTCTATTCGGACCCATGACTACAGTATCTAGTGTGACCACGTGCACCACGAGCGGCAATAACTGCAGCACAGCGTCTATGCATGTGGTGCACCAACCGATTGGTGAAGGCCATTGGCACCTGGAACCACACTCTGAGAAAGGCCTGGCGCAAGAAATCGGCTGTGTTCGGCCCTGGTATGACATTATTCAGTCTCTTCTGAATTTCATCCCAAAGATGTTCATTTTGGTTTAAGTCGGGTCTAAGGGCTGGCCACTGCATAATGTTGACACCGTTCTGTTGTATGAAGTCCCGTGTAGCTCTGGCAATATGGGCCCGGGCGTTATCATGCTGGAAAATGTTGTTTCGGTGACGTGAGAAATGTGGTAGGACGTGGGGTATGAGAGCTTGGTTAGGGTGCGCTGGAGCGCACCGCTGTGATGCCGCCTCCTCTCCCTGGACCAAGGTTCTGGAACACCATAGAACCCACTCTCTGGTTCAGGCCTTTTCCACCCCATACCATGATGCTTGCACCTCCCCATGAGTCTCTTTCCATAACACATTGGTCTGAGTAACGCTGGCCACGTCGTCGCCATATTCTTGTTCTGCCATCTGCAGTTGATACGCAGTACCGACTCTCATCTGTGAACAGAACAGTTCTCCATTGCCTGTATCGCCAGTTTTGGTGTTGTAGGGCAAACTGTAGACGTTCACGCCGATGACGAGGGGTGAGGATAGGTCCACGGTAAGGTCTGCGGCAATGGAGGTTCCCGCTGTTAAGACGTCGGCGTACTGTATCAGTACTGATTGGTCTTCCGTGTGTTCCCACTGTCTGGCGTGCTGTTTCGGATGCCTGCATGAAGGGATTTTGTACATGCTGTCGCACAACGTGGCGGTCTTGTCGTCTTGTGGTCACCCTTGGTCTGCCAGTACGGGGGTGATCATTTGTGGTGTTGGTGGCCCGGAAACGTTGCTGCAGCCTGTAGATGGTCCGAACGTTGACCTGAAAGTGATTAGCAGTGGCTTGTGCAGTGTGGTCTTCCTAGCCCCAGGTACCTCTGAGCTGTC